GTGTCTGGAGGGGTCCTGAGAGCACAGCAGATCTATAGAAAACATGTTAAGAAAATAGAAACATGTTTAAGTTAGTGTTTATTTGTGCGTTCTTACTGCATTATCCTATTATAGCACCATGAGTCTTCCCTTTGAATAGTAAACTTGGTAAAAGCAACTCACATTATTCTTTCTGTAGTAAATAGAGATTGCCATCGTTCTTATTTCTGAAAAAAGTCTATAAGCCCAGAATATAAAGATACTGTGTTTGATAAATACAGTAATACCAAATAACATGTTCCAGTTCTGGAAGTAAGCTGTCCTCAGGAGATAGTGTAGTTTGACACTGCACACCTAAAAGTTGCCTCGAGCCAAGTACTGTGCATCAGAACAGGCCTCTCCTCCCTTACCTGTGCGCGTTGGCGATTTTGCTCAGCAGTAAGAAGGCACCTGGGACTTCTCGTAGATAGTAGCATGTTGTCCATTGCACCCCTGGCAGTGAGCAAACTATGTATCTTTGATTGCTTTGGCATAGGTTATCTTAGAATTCTTTTTTATCAACTGTACAAAACTGATAACATGCAAAAAAATCACTGTCCAAAGCAGTGCAGATGCTGTCTGTCTAGGATGGCACAAATAAATTTTGTCAGAATAAAAATCATCACAAATAGAATTTTCAGTTGAACTAGCTGAAAAAAATATAAGCACAGACAAGAAAATAAAAATCAATAACATTACCATTGTAATCTCTGGCACCATATACCACGCCAGCCCCGCCCCTGGGGCATGCACCTGTAATCCCAGCACTGGGGAGGCTGAAAACAGGAGGATCACTACAAGTTTGAGATGCATAGTGAGACCCTGCACCAAAAAAAAAAACCCCACACCATTATAAAGATTTAAGGTGATTTGAGGAAAAAACTTATGTAGAATGATGGAAAGCAAACAACTTATTTAGCTGCATATTTTGTTGTAGGACTATGGGTACCTTTTCCATGCACGTTTTTCCATGTAAAATCTTTGTCCATACATTTTGGTTACTTTATTTGAATGTTGAACAATTTCATTAACTAGCTACTTTTGTCTTGCTTTTTTTCCCCTCCGTTGCCCCTTTATCTGATTCTTTGTAATGTTACCAGAAAATTAACATTGAGACAATTCTGTTCACTGTTCAGCAGACCATATTTAAATTTAACCATTTTTCCCATTACTGCCATTTTTATGGTCCAGGATTTCAACACTGAGTCAACGTGCCCCCTCCCCTCTTCCAGTTTGTGGCAGTGTTGAGGCTTGTCATTAGTGACCTGGGCACCTGCGAGGTGACTGTGAGGTTGCCTGCTACTGGGAGAGGCACTCCAGGCCAGAGGGACACACCTGCTGAGAGCATGATAGAGAGAGCTAGCAACAGTTCTCTGTCTGGTGAGGTTAACCTTGGTCACTTGGTTAATTAGCTAGTTGTTGCCAAATTTTTCAACCAGAAAAGTACATGTTACCATCTTTAATATGTAAAGCAACAATGGGCAACATGGTTTCTTTGTCTAATACTAGCTTGTAAAGAAGTAATTTGAGCCCACGTAGTACCTGACCAGTAGGTATTCCAGGTGCTAAGATAATTGACCATTGCTTGGTGTTGGTTTCTACATAAAGAAAAAGAAAAGGGTGGATAGGAAGGATGGATCAGCTCTTTGAACTTGTTTATGAGGATGAAATCGTATCTGTAAATAAAAAAGAAAATGAAAGGAATTCTTCATCTCCAACTGTTAGAAAAATGAAAGGAACTATACAAAATCTTGAACAGCATCTATACAAAATCTTGCAAGTTCTGTTCAGAAGGAAGAAAGATTTAATTTGTGTAAACTTGGTTTTTTACCTTTTTCTGTTATAATAGCTCGTGTGGTCTCTACTGCCACCTGGAGCATTAGATCATTACTACATGTTCACCTAGAAACTCATTCTCCTCACTGCCTTTCTGTGCGAATAAAAAGAGTTAAGAAAGCTAAGGAACAACGTTTAGTTATTTGGTGTTAAGGATGTTATTATGTAAATCTGCTTTCTTTGAATCCTGCACATAGTAACAGTTCTTTGAGATTGTAAAACTCATGTTTTCTGAACATGATTTGAATTAACAAGATTAAGCATTCCAAAGGAAACCATGTCTGCTCTCTAGTTCCCTCAAAGGGTGCATGTTGTTGCTATTATTTTAGAATACTTCGTGAAACAAATGTCAGGCTTGTCAGGGCTGTCACTAAGAAAATGATCCGTGTAGCAAGGGTCTTCTTTCATTGGGAAACAAACAGATGTTTATCTCAGTCAAGAGTGAAAAAAATCCTGTCTTCTATCAGAGGAAATTTTTGTTTGCCTTTACTTCCAGTAGTAAATAAGTGCTTTGGTTAAAAAAAAAATAAAAAAAAAATAAAAAAGCTTTCTTTCTTTGTGGTGTTATTTAGTATGCTATTATTTATCAATGAGACTTGATTTGCTGCCTGCCTGCACTACGTTAATGATTTTGTCAATCTGCATCTGGTTTCAGAGTTCCCACAAAAATTGACCTACGATGTTACATACACAAATTAGCACACTTCTAAAACTTCCTTTCTGGAGTTTTGTTGACTCAAATTGTAATGATTTTATTTATGGCAAACTCCGTTACTACTGTTTTGATGATATTATACTGTAGCAGTTTCAATGTCATACTCCAGCAGTTAGAGTTGATTGTCTTTTCCTCCCTTTCATAATCCTTTTCTTCATCTAGGTCACAGCCAGCTTTGTATGAAAGAAGAAGTAGATTAGCTCTTACTAGTATATAAGTGATTTAGAAGCTTTCTAAAAAGACAGACTATTTTAAGACAGGTTCTCAACATATAGAAAGATGAGAAGCAAATTATGTACACGTCCCACACAGAAGACAATACTACAGACAGACTTTCATAAACTATATAACTAAGAAAAATTCAACAAGACTGACACTGTACTAAGAATTCTAATATGTTCAGATAGCTGCATATTCCTGATTCATATATTGCCATATCCAAATTAAATTACGGTGTAGTTTTTAATTTCACTTAACAATATGATCCTGTAGCTTTTATTAATGATAAAATTTGAAAGCAAAAATGTATAGCTACTTCCTCATTCTCAGTTTCATTATTAAACTTCTCCACATCTATTTTGGGTTTGAGTAGCATTGCAGGTAGGTAGAGAAAACTAGACCAAGCTTGCTCCACCCGAAGCCGTGTTGGTGTATACTCAGTAGTCCGCTCAGGTGACAACAGCTGCTTTCATTTGAGATTAGAGACTGTGAGCTTGCTGATGGCTGCGTTTGTGCATGTTGCTTCAGACATTTTTTGCTGTTTCTGTTTTCAGTGCTGTTTAAGTAAAGACGGCTGGAAATGTAACTACTGCAGGAGTGATGGTAGTTTTTGAAATTGCATATTGCTTCAGACCTATTTGATACTCATTTTTTATCCCATCATTTCACATAGTTGAATTATTAATTGGACGACTATATACATTACCTGTGCCTGTCAGATGGTAGGAATATAAGACAGTGATCACCGCCTTGAGGTATATCTGGACAGATTGCGTGCTGCCTAGTGAGCCTTCGTGCCATCTTTTCTACTGATTTATCACTGTCTGACAGTCTCACCTAAAGAAGACAATGAAAGTGTAAAGAAAGGCTTTATTTTTAATACAGTGTAACTAGAATATTATCTCTAGAAACTTTTTTCTAAAAGTGGAAGCTGCCCATTCAAGAATTAATCTTTGAGCCGGTTGAACATAATGGACTATGTCTACATACTAGAGATAAATTAAGGAAAAAAAGTCAAGGAGCATACAATAGTTGTTTGACTAGGAAAAATATATGAAATTAAATTGCCAAATGATAGTCAAAGACTGATGGTTAGTGTGTCTCATATATCTATAGCATTTGCAGGTGAATAGTAGTGCTGATAATTCTCCACTTTCCTGACATTTACAAAGTCTAAGTCACAGCTGCTGTTGAGATTAGATGGACAAACATTTCTTAGAAAGGAAGCTTTCGATACCTTGATGACTTTAGGAAAGCGTTATAGGTTTTCATAGAAAATAAACTATGTGCCTTGTTTTGTTTTTACTTAATAGCAGTTCACTAAGCAGCACTCAAGAATTGTTTAACTCTGTTGAATTAAATTGTGCCTTTAATTCAATAGACAACGCCTTTTATTTCAGTTAATAAAAATGAAAGGTCTTGCCTAATAAATCAGAAAGAATATCAAAGCAAGACAGCTTTGTACTTGGATATTGTTATGCAAACATATAAGATGAGATGTGTTAAAAATTATAAAATGAAATATTTTTCCAGAGCCTCATTATTTATACTTTGAAGGTCACCATTTAATATTAAGCACAAGATGTATTTCATTCCTGTGGTAGCAGACATTATGATGTCACTTCATTTATTCACTGTGTTCCACAGAACCTGATGTGAGTTATGAGGACAACGCTTAGAGTTGAAACTGTGGAAGGTTGTGTGTGCAGCTGACATGGCCATGTTTCCTATTTTAGCCCTGACTGATCTTCATAACATATGGTGGTACAAGTAATTGGAAAATTGACAGACCTGTCAAGAAAACATGCTGGATGGGACCAAAATGCCACGCTGGAGCATATAAAATGTCTTAGAAGTTAAATTTATTGTTTTTTTTAAATGAAAGAGTGAAGTAAAAATAACCTGGTTCACTTCCTTCAAAGAAGACTTCTCAACATGTTTTCAAAAATAATTCTCAGGACATTGATGAAGTTGGTTGTTTTTAAAAATGTATCTTAGAAAATTTTAGTAGAATGTGTAGTGTAAAATAGCATGTACTATAAACATTTAAATATTGTGTAATTTTATTCTGTGTGTCTATAGTCTTTTACTTAGGGTTTCTGGAATCATAGCCATTCATAATCCTACAGCTAAAACACAGTTAAAATTACATTGAGTATCAATGAAACATGCCCTGTTTATATTTTAATGTTTTCTAAAATTTGTTTCACAGGAAGATGAAAATGAAGCTGAAAGAAAAAATGTATCTCAGGAGCTCAGCCTGGAACTGAAAAATCCAAAGAAATAAAAGATTTTCTGTAGTGTTTTTGAAAATTTTGAAACTTAGGTAATAGCAGATGAATTTCTAATTTGTAATATGTTAAATTGTAAAATCTTCCTTACAAAATGTTCTCAATAAAGTTGTTGAAATAGGCACTTGTATTCAGAACTTGTGTGTTTCAGAGCAATTCACTTTTTGTTTAAAAACTGGTCCTTGGAATGTTTTTAAAATGATTAAAATTCTGGACTAAAATTTTAGAACAAAAACAGGATTTCCCTTTGTCTGTAATTGTGAGCTTATATGGGTGAACTAAAGGAGAGCCGCAGAGTCTGTGCACTCCTTGTTGGTCTGTGCTGCCTTCTTCACATTCTCTCTCAATTTTTTTTTTTTTTTTTTGCGGAACCAGGGTTTGAACTCACACCTTGCGCTTGCCAGGCAGGCACTTATTCTACTAAGCTATCTCTACGGTCCTGCCTTCTTCACAAACTTTACCAGGATACAGGTTGTCAGTACAATGACAAGTGTGACATGGTTTAAAATGAGTAGGGAGTGCTGGTGGAAACGCTGCCAACCAGGGCCACAAGGTGGTGCACCATTTTCTGCTTTCATGAGCATATGTTTCACATGATATTCTAGAAGTAAAGGGCGAGAAGTTAATCTGGTCGAGGTAGTGCCACGTTGTAAGTTTGTGTAGCACATTTGTTGAGGACCTGCAATGTGCAAGTCCCTTCTCACTATCCCCAAAGTTCTTTTTTTTTTGTGGCCGATCAGCCACCATGAGGGCAGGGCTGGTGCGGCATGTGTTGTCAGGGTTCGAAGCACAGTCCCTACTCTTGCCTGAGCTTGCCTAAGCAGGTGCTTTAGACTCCTGAGTTATT